ATATATAACGGTAATAGTTATAGCTTTGTAAATCTGTAGCATACTGAAATTCTTCAAAATATCAATCTTTTAAATATGTTCGGACCGTAAAACTTTATCGGTCCGGTCCAAAAAAACCGAAACGTCGGTGGACCGGTTTTTTGACCGGAACAAAAATCCATATTTGTTGTTACTGAATAACTGATGATCACTACATACAAAGAAGCCTGCCAGGAAAATGAAAATCCAGCCTTCAAATAAAAGAAGTTTACCTTAGTCTCCGTCTCTCTCATTTTGCAACAATATTTTCCCGTATTTTGCTACCGATAGTCATCTAGAAATCATAAAGGACAAGTCTACGGGCCGTGCTTGGTTCGGATCGGGCCGAAAATCAGATTTTACACCATATGGTCACAATGTGATGCACGTAAATTTTCACTCGAAATGAGAAATTAACGCCCAACAAAACGGACCATTAGGTTCCCAGTGCTGTATTTCTCTTTTGTTCATGTGATCAACTTGTTTTCTTTGCTTGAATCGTGCAAAATACCAAGGAAAAACATCGAAATTTCGGCAAATTTATGCCGAGGCGAGTGTGGTTTTTCGGAGGAGCCATGTTCCTTTGCCGTGTTGCCTGCTGGGAAATGCTCAGCGAAAACTGCCGAAAATTTACGAGGCAGTTGTCGGGTCCTCCCGGGAGACGAAATCTAACATCGGAAAATGGCGAGTGCCCATATTTGGTTATCGTCGCCTTTCGTCGCCTTGTCGAAATCGTTCAACTTTGACCCCAAATTCCCTTATATGGGACCATTACAGTCTGCTGAAAAACGCCGGCAGGTTCGTGCGGCGCAGGTTTTCGATCTATTCACAGCGCCACTGCTTTGCTAATTGAAAACTATTGAATCCGGAGCCTATTTTTTCCTTCTGCAAAATTGCAGATTGTAAGATTTTTTCTTCTGCAATCTTGAAAATCTATCTGCAAATTGCAGACTGCAGACGGGTATTTCGAACACTGCAGTAGATTTACTACCATATTCTATTATTTAAATTATAATGACAATATTTTGTTAATTGTTGTAACTAAGCAACAACATTTTCCATATACAGGTACTCTTGGCGTGGAGTTCCTGAGGGAGCGGACACCACAGCCAGCTGTCTGGAGCTGCTCAGCTAAGTTCCCAACATGGCGACCTGTTCTGTACATTTCCTCAGCTCAGGTCAGTATACTGTATTAAAATTTGTGAGGTTATAGTTATGCCAACATGTTTGGGACATTAATATACATGTAGAACAGTTACTGATTTGATTTCATAACAATACAATGTATTTTTAGCATACTACATTTGTTGTTTTGAAGACAATAAGACTAATAAGCAGTAACACAAGATGCAACACAAACTACAAGCAGTTGGAGACACTGCACCAAAAGCCTTTATTAGCAAAGAGATGAACAACAACCACAAAATATCTCAGCTTTCTTGTCTTCTAACTGAAATTCAAAGATAAGCCACACAAGATGCTACACAGCCAGACCTAGAGTGCTGTTTTAACCTACGTGTTCTTAATGATGATGATTTTTAAATGCTGATGAAGTTTTTTAATCTACAGTATTGTAATGATGTTTGTATGTTAATAATTGTAAAACGTCAATGCAATTCAGACGTGCCCGAAGTACTTCGGTACGTCTGCCATGTTAGTATTTAATAAAGATTTGATTTGATTTGATTTGTGCTAACATCATCTTTGAGACAGAAGGATGCCTTAACTATAGTATAATACTATTAATGCTAAAGCACCAGTGCAGTAGTAATACAATTGGCAGAGAACCACTTGCAATGATTGATGCTGAACTAGAGTTCTTAACATTTATTGCATGCCTGTAGTGTATTAGGCACAGGAGAAACTAAGGTCTACGGTAAGTGTTTAGTGCTTTTATTATAATGTTTTACAATGTTTTTGTTCCTTGGAGTTTAACTTTTATAAATTACTGTATACTTCCAGAAGCTGTGTTCCCTACAGATGTGGCTGTCCTGACAGGTGTGCTAACAGGTGTGTTTGTTCCAGGTGTGGCTGTCCTGACAGGTGTGCTAACAGGTGTGTTTGTTCCAGGTGTGGCTGTCCTGACAGGTGTGCTAACAGGTGTGTTTGTTCCAGGTGTGTCTGTCCCGACAGGTGCCCTCCAGTCTGGACCCCCTGTTTAAGTACACCAGTAGGTGTAAGGTGTGGGGGACCACAGGTGTGCTAACAGGTGTGTTTGTTCCAGGTGTGGCTGTCCTGACAGGTGCCCTCCAGTCTGGACCCCCTGTGTAAGTACACCAGCAGGTGTGGGGACGGCCTACGTGGACAGGGAGAAACTGGACATCGACCTGCCGACAGCCGAGCAGTTCTACCAGAAACTCCTCAGCTAGAAAACCACTTCAGGGAGAAGTATAGGGAGGTCAGGTCAAAGATCAGGGGTCAATGACAGCTGAACTAGGTCAGAGGTCACATTAGTCTTCTCAGGAGTGTAATTTTACCTTTGGTTGAACTGTGCCCTATCATGAATGTAATGTTTTACAGAAGTATGACACAAGGAAAGAGATCAGATGGGCAAATACCCAGAACAATTTAGGACAAGACTTTCAGTTCTGAACATTCGTAACTTACAGTGGACCATGGCAATTAGATGAATAATGTTAAATAATTTCAAAAAATAAATTTGTTGAGTATTAAATGAACAGTCTGAGAATTAGCTTTGATATCCATAAATAGGTTTAAATGAATATTTCACCTCAAGGCACTGGTGTTCACAAGAATAACTGAATTCTCTGTAAGAACTTAACACGGAATTGTGAAAGACGTTCATAGTATGCCAAAAGTCAGTCCCCAAAGGAGTTTTATTTTGTATCCAGGCAATACGGTATGTTCCTCCACTGGAGTGCCACAATAATTCTTTTGTCACATGATGCTTTTTACAGATCGTTCCACTTTCTTAACATTACAGGAGTATCAATAAATTGTATGTATTACTAATTAAATAAAACTTCAA